TCACATGCTCCTGCAGATTGCTACAGTCGTGTACGATGAGTGGGCCCCTAAACCCCTAAAGCCAAAAGCGCTACGACCTTTAACCCTGAACCCTTAACACCTAAACCCTCAAACCCTAAAACCCTAACACCTAAACCCTAAAACCCTAAAACCCTAAACCCTGAAAGCCCGACGAGTACTTCTATCTCACAAAGTGCTGGTCCCGTCTCTAATAGGAGTACTTGGAGGCCCATGGGACTTAGTAACTACTTATAACTGGGAGTATAACCCTACTTATAATTGGGGGTAACCCCTATAAGCCATTTTAGGGGGATTATAAGTATCTAAGTCCCAAAAGTATGTAACATAATAGCCCTAAACCCATAATAACAGCCATAGAGGCCATTATTTTACATACTTTTGGGGTCCAGGTAGCACTAGGAACAGTGCGAGTAGGATCCAAGCTATTGGCTTTTGGGTTTTAGGGTTAGCAGTTAGAGTAAGATCCAACCTACACACGAAAGAACAGGGAATACTTCAAGATAGGGATTATCTAGGGGTTATATTCCCTTATTCCCTACTAAACCCTAAACCCTAAACCCTAAACCCTAAACCCATTCCCTACTAATAATCACCAGTAAGATGAAGCCTAGACCCTAAACTCTACATGCTCGAGAACTCGCGGTTCAAGGGTTGTCTGCAAGGCAAGTTTGGCAAGGAGTGTGGGTTTGAGTTTAGGGTTTAGGATTTAGGGTGCAGGAGATATCAGTCACCCAACTTTTCTCTGGGCTTGCTGGTGGATGAGAGGAATTTGGTAACCCCAGCTCCTAAAATCGTGCGTTCTTCTCCAACCCCCCTAAACCCTAAACCCCCCTAAATGTATCACGCTAGGTTTATTTACTGAAGTTCCGAGATTCAGCAGCTGAGTCATTCGGTTAAGTTAGCCTCAACGTTTACCACATAGTCTTTCAAGGGCCTTCTACGATGACTCACCTAGAGCAGATCCCATCCCGGCATGGAACCGTCCATTTTCTCTCCGATTTTCCTGAGATGGCGGTTGTCCAGACCCAGACAGGCCAAAACCCCTTTGCCTATACAACCCTATACAACCCCTATGTAACTCCCATACAACCCTATATAACCTGCGAGAGGGCACGCATTTCTTCTAGCCCTCTTACTAATTGCGCTTGGAGAAGCATGAAAAATTTGCCTTAAACCCTAAGCCCCGGTGTACCACGCAATTCCAACCCTTGTGCACCCTGATAACTTTAAACAAGGGGTCTTACCCTAACCCCGTGCCCATGACCATAGTATCTCCAGAAGAGGGGCAAGCCTCAACCCTAATATCTCTCAAAAGAGGTCCTATACCCCAACCCTAAACCCCGGACATCTCTTAAACATGAGAATCTTACCTCAGCCCTAATCCCTAATCCCCAGACGCTTAACCTTAACCCCAACTCTAACCCTGAAGCCAAGCAGCTTTGAAAAAGGGGTCTTGGACGCCCTGGTAATTTCCCTAAACCCTACCTACACCCCAAAAGTATGTAGAATAATGGCCTTTTGGGCTATCTTTAATGGTTTTGGGCTATTATTTTACCTACTTTTGGGGTTTAGGTAAACCTTAAACCCTAAACCCTAAGCAAGGGGTTTTGGACGCCCTGGGAATTTCCCTGGGGCCTGGGAGCACAGCCCATTCGCGAGCTCCGAGCCCACTACGAAAGCTTCGTAGGGTTAGGCTTCTGACAGTTGTCCAGTTGACGCAAGAGATGGGGTTTAGGGTTTTAGGGCATGTGTCAAGATAATGTCATTAAGACATGAGTCTTCTTCAAGAGCAATTGTTCTTGTTTGAGTCTTGGTTTTGCGTTGGGGGACCATTCATAAAGATCTTGCAAGTATATGGTAGGTTGTCAACATTATGATCCTTCTACCCCGACCCTAAACCCTAAGCCCTAAACTCTACACCCTAAACCCTAAACGCTACACCCTAAACCCTACACCTTTACCCAAAAAGGGACCATGATTTTGACAAGTCGCCGTAGAGTCATTTCCCAAGAAACCCAGAGCTCTAGCAGCCTCTAGACGCAGAATCGCAGGGGTTTAGGGGTTTAGGGTTTAGGGTTGCGTTTGGAGGCTCTTGGGACTTCGTACCCCTACACATAATCCCCCTTAATGGCCTGAAAAGGCTTAAATGGACCTGTTTGGGGTTAGTGTGCTGGTGACCCCCTTTATCTCCTGTTTACTAAAGCCTCTGAGTTGCAAAGTATATGACTGTTGAGCAAGCTCAAGGAACCTCAAAAAGAATTTATTTCCTACATGCTCACAAGGGCCCCAGACCCTATAAACTAAACACAAAAAACTTAACCCTGAAGCCTAACAACTAAACCCTAAAGCCTAAAAAACTAAAGCCTGAAGTCTAAAAACCGAACCCCAAAGCCTAAAAAAAATAAAGCCCTAAAGCCTAAAAACTAAACGCCAAAGCTTAAAAAACTAAACCCTAAACCCTAAAACACTAAACCCTAAACCCGAAAAAAGATTTAACCCTAAACCCTAAAAACACTAAGCCCTAAACCCTAAACCCTAAAAAACCCTTAAACAACACTAAAAAACCCTAAAAACCCTAAAAACACTAAACCCTAAACTCTGAACCCCAAAAAACACTAAACCCTAAACCCCAAACCACGTCGTAAGAGGGGTCTGGGAGCCTAACCTTGGCAGTTGCTCAAAACCATGCCTACAAAGATTAGGGTTCAGGGTTTAGGGTTTAGGGTTTTAGGGTTTAGGGTTTAGGGTTTAGGGCAAAGATTAGGGGGCCCTATAGGAGCTATAGTCTAAACTCCTTAAAGGGGGTATATAGGGGATGGGGTTTAGGGTTTAGGGTTTAGGCCCTATCCAGACCTCTGGGAGGATCTAAAAAGTAGATCCCCTATATAAAGTTTAGGGTAGGAGGGTTGAGGGTTAAGGGATAAAGCCATAATAACCCCTCTATAATCCGTATATAATTCCCCATAGTCTTGAAGGGGATCTAATTTTTAGGTCCCTTTGGGGGTCTGGGTATAGGAGCTATAGTCTCAACTCCTTTGGGGTTGAGGGTTTAAAGTTTAGAGTTTAGGGCTCAGGGTATGGTCCAAACTCCTTAAAGGGAGGTATGGGGTAATATATACGGGAGTATTGTAGGGCTCCTTTAAAAGCTCCACACATCAACAAGGTTGCTGCAGGCCCCTTGCTTTGAGAACCCCACGCGAAACAATCCCCACCCACCCACCCACCCACCCACCCACCCGTAGATAATCACCATAGTTGCCCGATTACTTCTGGGCACATCCATGTAGGTGAGTGATGATTTGATCCTTATTGTGGTTTGCTGGGTTGCTGTTAAGGAGCTTAAAGTTAAGTCATATACTCTGATAAGGAAACCTTATCATTCATCATATTTCCATATTATGGGGACGAGACTTAAGTTCCGCAAGAGCAACTCAGTTTACGTTGGGTATGAACATCCTTTTGGTCAGCGTATGTATGGGAAGCTCATCTGGGGAGACACACGAAAACCATCACCTATTCGTTCATGCATACCTGGGCCTTCTTCACCCTAAACCCGAAACCCAATCAATGCGGGCACCACTATGTGCAGCATGTGACCTGTAGTCTAAACTCCTTAAAAGGGGGTTACGTAGGGATTACATAGGGGACTACTACAGGGGTTATTAAGGGGGATACTAGGAGTTTAGACTATAACCCCTATAATCCTCTACATAACCCTATACATATATATCGCTGTTTCCATTTCATTTTCCATGTTCTTTTCCATTTGATTCTCCATTATTAAGGGGGATGCTAGGAGTTTAGACCATGGTTCATGTGGGGGAGGCCGCCTAGTTTGGAAGGCACCTAGCTAGCTAGCTAGAAGCTGAAACCCGTTGACCATGGAAGGGCTACAATCTGGGTTGCTGTTAAGGAACTTAAATTAAGTTACCATAATTATGGGTATATATAGTAAATAATAAGGTTTCCCCAATATAGTAACTTAATTTAAGTTCCTTAACAGCAACCCAGCAATTGGCTCTATTGTTTCGGATCTAGGGTTTAGAAGATTATCCCTAGATAACCCCCATAGAACCCCTATAATCCCTGTAGTTTCCATTTTCTTTTCCATTATCCCAATTTATCCCCTTAAATACAAATAGCTCTAATTTTAGGGTTTAGGGTCTGTCCCGTTTCTTGAAGCACCTCGGATTTTTACTGCAAAGTAAGCTGCTTGGCATCGCATCGTGGGGTCGACGTTTCACCTGCAGAAGCAGAGCCGTTCGCAAGGTAGCTGCTGGGGTCGTTGGGCTGGAGCATTTCTGAGAGTTGGAGGATTTTTAGACTAGACCTTCAGGATATGTGAGGGTTTCCCAAAATTAGGGGTACCTTTTCGGGTGTCCCCGGAAGAAGGATAATTATTGTATTTTGGGGTCTATATTGGGCTTCCCCCCTATTTGGTACCTTCCCAAAATAGGGGGACTGAAATATAAACCAAAGAAAATACCATAATCCGTATTATAGGGACCCCCACAAAGATACCCTAATTTCAGGAAACCCCTATATTGGGGTTCCCCCCCTATTTATGGAAACTACTTGTGTACATCTTATGGATGATAGAGAGGGGTTCTGAGAAGCCCCCCAAACCCTGAACCCTAGAATCTAGGGTTCGGGTTGGATACTGCCCCCACTCAGTAACAGTTGGATAATAATTCTAATATGGCTATATATAGCCCTTAATAGGACCCCTAAGATAGACTGTTACTGGGGGCGGGGGGCAGAACTCAAGGTTTACCTAAACCCTAAAAGTATGTAAAATAATAGCCCTAAACCCCATAATAATAG